AGCTATGCTCGGTGTGTGCCGTTTTCATCCTCAAATTCAGCTGTTTTCCCTTCCGAATTGCTATTTTAAGTTATTTTTTGCTATTTTTGGTAATATTTCGATTGCACGTTAGGAGATGATTTTTAACCCGATTTGGGCTAGATTTTTTGCAGAATACTTATTTTATTCCATATTTTCGTTTGGCGTGATTTTTGGAATTTTGCCATTTTTGGTAAAATTCGGATTTCGGCTATAAAGTCCAGCTTGTGGACTTATTTTCATCATTGCGTGATATAATAAAATTCTCTAAACTTCAGAGACGTTTTCTCTGTGTTTTTTTGGCATTAATCTTGTGTTCTTCCCTGTGAATTTGCTGGTAGAACTAGCCTGCAGAATAATCACTATTCTGCTCGGCGTCATACGACATTTGCAGAAGCCTGCTAAAGGAAAGGTTGCTGCTAGAAATGGTGTGGCCAAAAATAGCAAACAATCTAGCAGTTCAGATGAGGATGAAGTAAGTTCAACAATTTAATTTTTCAATTTTTTTGTTATTTGTTTTGTTTCAATTGCTAGTCTTGATGCATCTTCATGCATTGTTTGTTGTCTCATGCAGGTTCCTAAAACAAAGCTACCAGCTGCTAAGAATGGAACTGTAGAGTCTGATTCGGATGATGAAAGTAGTGATTCAGAAGAGGATGCTAAAGCACTTACGAAACGTCCTGCTGCATCTAAGAGCAGCAGTGTTGCTGTTACCTAGAAGAAAGAAGAGTCTGATTCTGATGAGTCAAGTGAGGATTCTGATCCTGAAGATGAGTCTGACTCGGATGAGGATGTTGCAGCAACCAAGAAAGTTCCTGCTACTGTGACTAAAAATGCTCCTGTTGCAGCTTCAAAGAAGGATGAGTCGAGCAGTGATGATGAAAGTTTAGAAGATGATGTTCCTGCAGCTAAAAATAGCTCAGTGGCTGCTACAAAGAAAGATGATTCCAGCGAGGAATCTTAATCTGACAGTTCTGAGGAAAGTGATGACGAACAGCCTCAAAAGAAAAAGCAGAAAGTCCCAGTACGTGATCAATATATAACTTATTTACTCTCATGGCTGAATTTTCATCTGTCATTGTTAGTGATTGACTGATTGTGAAATTTTCATATGAATTTTGTCGAACTACATGATTTTTCTCATTTTCCTTTCTTGTCTTTGGCAAGATGTTATGCTGTGTGCAAGGGAGGTTCTGTGACCTTTTTTTGATGATGATACATGAATAAACTAGTTGGTGTACAATGTAGTTGAGCATACTTAAACATGCAGTTTTGGCTGTACATATTAATCCACATGCTACTTGCCCAATACCGGGAAATTATGATCTATATTCATCTCCTTGTACTTGGATTTCTTGATGAAACAGGATGTTGGTGTGAAAACAACTGGTCTTGCGCCAACAAAGGAGACTGTGAATAGTTTTTCTTCACTTGACTCGTGTACGCTTTTATGTAAATAAATCATGTTTTCTCCATACCAATTAAGAACATTCTTTTGGAGTTCAATCCTTTTGAGTGAACATATTTTTATTGCACATCTCTTACATTGTTGAATGTTTACACCGGTGAAAATACAAAAAGCTTTAGTTTTGTAAAATTTCAACAATACTGTATAGGAATATAGTATGGTGGTGAGGAAGAGGTAATATTCTTTTCCTTATCTTTTTTGCTAATGGATTTTCTACATTTTCTAGGTGGCTCTTGCTCCGGTTATACCTCTCCTGGAAAAGTGAAGACAGAATAATGGAAGGTAGTAGGAGAACTAGAATCAAACATTTAGAGAGCAGTTAGGGTGGTTCATATTTTTGGGTAGTTTGACTAGTAACTTATGTAGGCAGTGTTGTATTACATTCTAATGTTCAAGTGTATGGATTCAAAAATTTGTAATGAAATTATCAATTTTTATGCAATTCCAAAAATTGTTCATAAGGTGCATTTTCAATTTTGCCAATCAGCATAAATTGTTGTTGTTAAAATGAAAAATAAAAAACCACCACCCTACAGCAACGTTTGGGAAACGTTGCGAAAGATTGTTCTTTCACAACGTTTGTCAAACGTTGCCGTAGATAGATACGGCAACATTTTTTAAACTTTGCCAAAGACTTTTGGCAACGTTCAAAAAATGTTGTCGTATCTCTCTACTTACGACAACACCTCGATTTGTAACACACGTTCAAACGTTGCCATAGACCTACGGCAACGTTTTTTGAACGTTGCCGTAAGCTGTTTTTGTTGTAGTGTTTGTTACTATTATGCTTGTTTTTCAATTGTTCCATTAAATGTTTTCAATTTTTGCTATGGTGATGGATATATATAAGTTGAGGAAATGGTTTTCTAGAGGCGAACGAAGGAAATAAATGCACAAAAAGAAAGTCTGAACTCATAATACCTAAAATGAATGAGCATCAGTGAAGTAAAGTGAAGTGACTGAGCAAAATTTGATGAAATAAAAAACTAAGCTCATTTTTTTTTTTATTTATGAAAAACAACATAACATTAATTAAAATAAATCATTGTTGCATATGTATTTTCATACTTTGAAATAATCATAAAATTACACCGTTATTAATATTGTCAAAATTATCATCTTCAATATAGACTATCAAGCTACCATTCAACCATTAATTTCTCGTTCTAATGCAATGAAACAAGAAATGCTTCTTCTACTAAAGCTTGGTTTGAGAAGATTAAAACTCTGTTTGTCAGAAAAGGTATGCATTTTCTTCTTGTAATGTGATAACTGGTGATTTCTTCAAAGACGCTTCTGAGATTGGATTGCCATTCGAAATAGCCCAAAAGATAACCTTTGAGGAGAGAGTAGACTAGTACAACATGAAATACTGCAAAGACTGGTTGACGAAAAGTTTTACTCAACTTATGGATATGGCCTGTACACATATTCGTCGAGGGAAAGGTTAAAGGGGTACGCATTTTTTAAAGCTGAGCAGATAGTACATCGTAGGATAACGTATGAAGATATAGCCCCTGTTTGGCATGTAAAACTCATTTTCTGCCAAACTTATTTTCAAAGATACATTTTTTGGGACCTACAACTTTTATCANAACATGCACGTGTTCATTTAAGTGTCACAACACTTTCATTTGTGAGATCAGCTACTTACTTCACTAGTAAAAAATACCACACATGATTGTCTCTCCGTAATACTGATATACATATCCCGTTGTTACTTACGACCACAGATGATTTAAAATTCGGTCATATGTAATTTGTATCTTACAGTCACAACTCCTTGTGATTAACAAATTACCAAAATTTGAATCTATGGATTCTATTATTTAATTTATTAGAATATTAATTCAATTAAATAATAAATATGTCATAAATAAAATGTGTCAATTATATAATAAAAGTGTTTCTGTCCAAAGTTGATTGGACATAGGGCATAACACTTACAAACTCTCACTTGCACTAGATCCAATAACTTATGTATCTAATATCATTAGAGTCTACATGACAATCATATTTATGTTGTGATAACTCTTTGTCAATGGATTTGCAATTTGATAACTAGTGGGAATTTGTTATTTCTTTACGTCATTTCATTGTATTATCTACCAATGAGATAATATCGATGTAACACATGTTTGGATCGCTGATGAGACCTTAATTCCCTTGTTTGCACGATGGTTCCATTGTTATCACTATGCAGAAGCATATGATCAACAATGTTAACAACTACTCCAAGTTCATTGATGAACTTTTTAATCCAGACCACACCTTTATTGCTTCTAAAACAATGGTATATAAGGCTTCTAGTATTGAATGAACGATTGTTTCTTGTCCGAAAATTTTCTAACACATCTTTTAAGAATAAACCAATATCCTGATTTAGATTTGTTATCATTCTAGTATGACTAAAAGTTAGCATCGGTGCATCCATGAACTCTCAGTTTATTTTCTCCATATAAAATATTCTCAAGATTTTATTTATATAAATTGGGATGAGTTAAGCAATCTTCTATATCTATCTCTATAAATCAAGTTGCTTCTGCCATATCTTTCATAGAGATATTATTTGACACCACAATTTCAACAATTGAAATATAGGAATGTCGTTTCCTATCGATATGTTATCTACATATAATATCAAATATATGACAATACTCCCACTATCTTCTTGTAAACAAACGAAACATCTTCGCTTTTAATGAAATCAAATCTTTTAATTTTCTCATTAGATCGAGAATTCCAGCTCCTAAAGGCTTGCTTCAATCCATATATGGATCTATCAAGCTTACATATCTTGTTAACGTCTTTTAATTCAAAACATTTGACTTGTATCATGTACACTTTCTTTTGCAAGTTCCTATTAAGAAAAGCAGTTTTTACGTCCATTTTCCTCAACTCATAGTCATGGTATGTAGCTATTGCAAGCAAAATCTGAGTGGACTATAACATGATTATAGGCGACAAGGTTTCATCAAAGCCAACTCTTTGTCTTTGTTTATAACATTTTGTTACTAGCCTTACTTTGTATGTAATGATGTTTCCATCCATGTTGACATTTTTCTTGTAAACTCATTTATAACCTGTGGGTTTTTTTCCATCAAGCGGGTCGACCAAGGTCCAAACCTTGTTTAAATTCATTAAGTTCATGTCAGATTTCAGGGCTTTTTTCCATCTCTTTGAATCAACACTTGACTTTATTTCTGCGTAATTAGTACATTCATCATACTTGATTAGTAATGTTTGGTGAGGTATCAAGGATTCGAACTTTCTAGGAGGTCGAATGGTCACATTTGATTTACGCTAAGCCAGGGTATCTTTAGGAGTCTCTAATTCCTGATCCAGGGTATGTCCCTCAGAAAGTGTGGGATCAAACTTAGGTTCATCTACTTGGTCAACTATATCGATGGAGTCTTGAACTTTTTCAAGATCTATTCTGATCCCACCACCTAGAATGAACTCTTTCTCTAAGAATATGACATATCTTGAGATGAACACCTTCTTCTCAATGAGCTTATAGAATTGATATCCAATAGTCTCTTTTGGATATCTCACAAATACACATTTATCGGATTTAGTCCCAAGTTTATCCGATTCAGTTCGCTTCAC